ATTTGAATAATTTGTTCATGGCAAAAGTTTTGTGGGTGAATTTGTTTTTATTTGAATAATTTGTTCATGGCAAAAGTTTTGTGGGTGAATTTGTTTTTATTTGAATAATTTGTTTATGGCAAAAGTTTTGTGGGTGAATTTGTTTTTATTTTTTGTTTCAGGATAGAGTTGAGCATTCTCCCTAAAAAAATACATAATATAATATCCTCCTTTTTTTTTAGAGTTAAAGTATGCATTTAACCTTTATCTTATTAACTTTAAAGTTTTTAATTATTCATCTTATATTATAAAGTTTTTAATCTCTGAACTTAAAAACTTAATAATTTTAATTCTTATGCTAATGAAATTCAGTAACTATTTGTTAAAATGAAAATAAAATATTTATAGGATCAATTCTCAAAAATTAAAAATGTAATAATTTACTTCTAAAAATTTTAAAATTGAAAAAAATTAATAAATAAAAAAAAATTAATAGATGACTTTCTCATGTATACTAGAACAATATTAAATATCTGTAATCAAATCAAGTGATTAACTCAATATGAAAAAAGAATTTTTACTGACATTAAATTTTTTTTTTTACTATATTGAAAACAAAAAAATCCAAAAGAGCAGAAGCTTTTTGAGCGGGTATTTTGGTATCCACTTACCATCTCATGCTGTTATGTACTCTCTTTACAGATTGCATCATTATTTTGATAAATTCAACTGCATATTCAGCAATCTGCATTTTTTTATCTTCTCAAAAGCCACAGATTAAAGAAGCACAAGTTTTATGCCAACAGGTATAATTTTTTAATTTAGATCCTATACGCTTTCTTCTCTCAAAAGCTTTGTTTATTTATTTATTCTTTTTCTGCTTTTTAACTTTGTTGCACTATGGTTTTATTTTACACGCAGTCTATGAAGAAGTCTTTTGTCAGCACATCCTTTATCCCATCATTCTGAGTCATTTGGAGAAACCACCAACCATTTAAGTGAGGTACATTTTCTTATTCCAATTAACTATTAATTATTTTACAACTAATTTATATAAAAAATGATTGATACACCTTTCGGTTTAACACATCGGATTATACTTTTCGATTCAGTTATTAAAATTTATTTTTAAAAATTTTCATGTCTTAAATTTAAATTTAAAAATATTAATTTTTTAATAAATAAATCAAAGTGTGTTATACAGTGTATTGAAACAGATGACATATCAATCACTGTCTAATTTATATATATCTGATTCTTTGAATTTGTAAGATAAACATACATACAAGAATATCTCCCCTTTTTTTGAGTGGCTAATTTGGTATCCACTAAGAAACAAAAGTGTGACATTTTCCCCTTCTAAAGTGTAAACTACTTGTTTTGCACATTTTGTGGTGTTTATAACAGTCAGCATTCACGTACCTTTTATTTTCTTTTCTTTTATTTTATTTTAACCTATTCTAATTTAAATTTTCGTATATTAGAGAAATAAATAAAAATCAAATATTTGTTAGATTAAAATTTAAAATATAATGAGAATCGTTTATATTAGTCTCAATTTTCATAAAAAATTAAAATCATAACTTTAAAACCATCATTTTTAATAAATATTTTTAAAAATTAATTGTTAAATTTAATATTTTATTGATATAATAATCATATATATAAATTTTAAGTTGAT